TGAATTTAAAACCATGAAATGCCAGTGCAGCAGAGAATAGTATAAGAGGGAGGACACAGAAGCACCTAAAAGCAAAGTCAGAAAGACAGCTAGATTCAGATCTATTTAACCGCTTAGCAGCTCCATGATCTGGGGCAAAACCCTCCCATTATCTGCTTCTCAGAGCACAGTTATCAAAACTCAGTGGCATGAAAGAACCAAAGCATTGTGTTTGGCATAGAATACGTACTCAATAAGTATTATTGCCACATGGAGGGAGGGGATCTGGGGTGTAAGAGATTAGCTGACTTAGAGTCATTTAGCCCCTGTCTGCACCACCTCAGAATAAATGTTTGCCATGCCCAACAAGGGGTCAGGCAATAGCCTGTTTATCTGCATATTAAGCAACTATCATAAATTTATAAATTTTTTTTCCTGAACAGATTCTTTTTAAGCTATATTATCATCTCCCCAAGCCTGCCTTCCTCCTGCAAATGCCCTGACATACACACACACACACACACACACACACACACACACACGGCACCATTTACCATTTAATTGCCTGGTGGTTTTAACTTCCTGGAGAGACGAACACAGAGCTAAATATAGCTCTATCCTTCCCAACTAGCAAGCCTTTAAAGGAGCTAAATTGCCTTGCTTTTTACTCCCTCCCCAAACTTGATCCCAAGCTTTATAAAAAAGAAAGACTGAGGGCCTCCTACCATAGAATGTTTAGCAATTGACATGTTGTCCACTGTTTGAGAGGTTTTGTGTACTGGTACTTAATCCTTGTTTCGGTTACAACCCCTGTAGGGAAATTTGAGTCCCGTACACGAGTTCTTCATTTATTTCTGAGCCAAGATAATTCTAGGATTACCACTTAGAAAATTGGGAGAACTCTGTAGAGTTACCAGGCCGACGGTATCGAGAAAAGGAGCATGTGGACTACCTTTTTGGCGACAAGGTTAGGGATAGGTATTGTGGTTAAATCCCATTAGCAACAATCTTACACTCATTAAGTGAACCCTGGATGCTAACGGAGAAGCCTCCCCCCTCCCCCTCCCCATTTCCTCTCCTGCTCCTAAAGGCAGGCCCCTTCAACACAGTGGATTCCTTGCCCAAGAAATGCCTCTCTGGAGTAGATCACAGAGGCTCCCATGCCAAGTAGCTCCAAAACCAGAACATACTGCGAGGGACACATGCCATTCTCCAAAATTCTACCAGCACACCCCATTCATAGGCCGTCTCTCTCTCTCTTATTTCTTGGGTGACCTTTACGGCCTGGAAAGTATGCCTTTGTGTTAAGGCAAACACACACTATTCTGCAAGCATCGTTGAAGAATTTAAAGATTCTATTAATCTGATGTCTTAATTGTTACTGAGAAGAGGAAACAGGAGTGCCTTTGTTCCCCCAAATGACCACAGGCTTCTAAAAAGTGGCCCACGATGGCGGAGTTTGCATCTCAAATTGCAGGCAGCTCCCTGCACAGTGGAACTTTAGTGTAACTAATTCGCAGACGTTAAAAGGGGCAGAGAAAGAGAGTAACGTTGGGTAAGCCCCCAAGCAAGCAGTATGGGTCCACAATGGAGTTTTTATCCCACACCTCCGTTTCTCCTGAAGACACTTTTCAAGTAGTGGTTAACAAATGTGCATTTCAAGACTAGAGGAGCCAACCGGGTTAATAAATGGGGGAACCACACACACAGACACACAATGCTGGACAACATGCAACAAAAGAGAAAGAAAAAAATCTCGCAACGGTGAGAAAGAAATAGCAATCAATGTAATTCAAAGAGTACTCTGTGAGCACCTACTATTTAGGAGGCATTGAGAACCCGGACACAGGGGGAAAGAAAGTAAGGTTTAGCTGCTGTCCCCTAAGTGTTTGTTTCCACTAGGAGAGAATACATCAGGTATAGAAATATCTATGACACAGGCTGCCTAGAATCAAGAGGGAGAGAGCGCACCAGCTTGGCTGAGGGAGAGGCATATGGGATTAAAAATAGCTGCATGGAGGGGGGTGGCTTTGGGGTTGGACCTCAAGGACCTGCCAAAACTTGAACTTGACAAAATGGTTGAACATCCTAGTTGAAGAAAATGAAGATGAGCTAAAAGATGGAAGCAGAGAGGTGCGAAGACTTTGGGAGAAACGGTAATATTTTGGATCGAGCGTAGAATGTTTTGGAGCTTGGTGGAAGACGACATCAGGAAAAAAGTCAGTTGTGGGTGTCTTGAAAAGAAGGGCTTGCGCTTAATTCTGGAGATAAGTAGTTACTGATAGTTACTGAGCCCTGAAATAATATGATCAGAGATGATTATCATGGAAAAAAATACAGTAGCAGGCAAAGCTCTGCACTCATTCACTCCTTCATTCAACAGACATGAATTTTATACTTACCACGTGCCAATGCCTGGATCAATTTGTTCCAGTCCAGAGGGTTAAATTAGTTAAGTTCGTAACATATATGTTTTAATAAAGCAGGATCTATATAAGACTGGAGAACTTACTGGATGGGACAAATCAGGAAAATGGAAAAATAAGGTGGACCCCGAGGTTTAGGGCCAAAGATCATGGGAGATTGGGGTGGCGGGTACGTGCTGAAATAGAGAAGCCAGGAAGATGCTTTGAAGGGGCAGATAAGGCAGGTTCAGAGGTGGAGATGGTCATGGGGCTGGTATAGGAACTGAGGCATTCGTGACTCGTGTTCTGGACTCCCCTGCAGAGAGTGTAGCCAGTAGCTGGGGGAATTGGGAGATCTGGCAGAGGACAGAGAAAGGGGAAAGCCAGGAGTTGGAGGAATGCCCATATTAAAAAAGGAAGGAAGGAAGGAAGGAAGGAAGGGAGGAAGGAAAGGAAAGAAAGAAGAAAGAAAGAAAGGAAGAAGGAAAGAAGGAAAGGAAGGAAGGAAGGAAGGAAAAGAAAGAAAAAAAAGAAAGAAGGAAGGAAGAAAGGAAGGAAAGGAAAGGAAAGGAAGGAAGGAGAAAGAAAAAGAAAGAAAGAAAGAAAGAAAGAAAGAAAGAAAGAAAGAAAGAAAAAGAAAGAAAGAAAGAAAGAAAGAAAGAAAGAAAGAAAGAAAGAAAAGAAAGAAAGAGAAGAAAGAAAGAAGGAAACAGGGCCTTAAAGAGACAGAAGGAACGCCATCTTGAAAGGGGAAGTTGTTTCCAAAATGCTCCAGAAGATGGGAAGGAATGAACAGTGAGCATTTTTCAGTTTGAAACCATTTCTGATGGAAGTTTAAAAGGCCCAGAAGGAATCCATCAAAGCAAGTTTAAAATGTCACACAACCATCCAGGAGATCCCAGGAGCCCACTTGGTTGGTGCAATACTGGGAAATGCCCAGAAGTTATATAGCGCATGGGGGTGGTGGGTTTTTCTCCGTCTGGTCGCCCAGGCGGGGCCACCAAATTACAGTATCCTTTACGGACAAGCCTGCATAATGACTATCAACAGCAGAAGATGTGTTTTCCCCAGGGTTCAACCACTCACTGACCAGAGGTGACAAGTGTCACACACACTGTATGTGCACCTTCCAAGTGTTTCTAGATTTGAAAAGAAGCTGAGTTGGCGGATTTGCTCTTTCTCTCTCTCTCTTTAACATCTAGTATGACAAGGTTTTGAGTCTTTCTGAAGCAAACATTGACAGGAATACAGGAGTTTTGAGTCTTCTCCTCAGGGCGGGACGGAGGCTGAGTCCCGGGCAGAATGAACTCTGCAAAACCCTGTTTGAGGTTGGCAGCGGGAGTGGTACTTGGAATTTATCAAGACAGGCTGGGAGTTGAAAAAAATTGCAGTGCAGGTGCCTTACCTTTCCCTCCACCGGCTACTTTTCCCCCATCGCCTGCCGCCTACGAGTTTATTTACTGAGTCAATTAACAAAAGATAACCTCCCATGGTGCAACCATCAATAAATCAATCGTGTTAATACTATCTTGGAATGTCCCCCACTATTGACTTTCATATTGTTTACATTAGACACTTGAGAAAGCCGGAGCTCTTCAGCCAGCTTGTTTCGGCCGTAATGGATTCTGGAGGGGCCATTAATACATAGAACTCTCTCGACAAAATATTTCAGTTTCCCTGAGGTTCACCTGCTCGCCGAACATTGGCAGGGCCCTCTCCTTTCTCCCGGCTGCAACATCCTACAGATTCTGATGAATACTGAGGAAGGCAAACACTTCTGAGCAGTAATGGAACAGTCACTTTGGGCACACCTACCTCTTTGTGATTTGAATAATCTATTTCCACCCACCCCAGCCCCCCACTGTCAACAACCCTCAACAATCTAGGGAATCAAATTAATCTTCAATTATGTGAAAGAATTTCAGGAACGAACATGGCTCAAGTTACCAAGTAACTTGCTGTTGTGAACAGATTCGTACTGGAAGCAGCCTGAATGCAGGGACTTTTCAAGATCTTTTTCTCCCTCACTTAATAATAAGGGAAATCTTTCCAACCGGTGATAATCTCGCCACAGGGAATCTTTAAAAAAATTTCGAAAGCTAGTTTCAAAACGAATGCCCAGAAGAAATCTCTCTACATGTTCCGCCGGCTATGGAACACAAGGCGAAATATGGTCATCAGAAAGTTGGATCTCACGTTTGGTTTTTGCTTTTAGTACTTCCTCTTGAATGCCATCGAAAATACTTAGATCAGGTTTTCTTTTGGTTAGGAGTCGGGACTCCGCTGCTTCCAGACCAAGGTATTTCGTAAAGGCACTGGATATCCAGGGATTCCAAAGGAAGGGGGGCAGGGAATCCACCGGTCCTAAACCCTCTGAAGGTTCAGATTTCAGTGCTGGCTGCAGACCTGAGCAAAGTTCACTGCTCCCTTTTCACGACATGCTACATACTTTGCAAGTTCCCACTTGCTTCTTAGAGAGGAAAAAATGTGGCCTCTGAGTTCAGGTTGCTAAGGACAAACGGGGCCAATTTAACCATGCATTCCTGCTCTGAAAGATAGGCCAGTTGTTTTTCTCCCCACCCCCCACCCCTACCCCCGCGCCGTAAATACCAGAAGCTCTGGGTTCTCCCCGCACTCCACAAATACTTTTGCTCCAACTTCGAAGCCCTCTTTCGTCCATGGTGGAAATTCAGTTATTTCATTCAGTTGCTTTTGCTGCCTGCGTCTGACATCTTGACAACACGGAAGATTGTTGGACTGTGTAGCACATCTTCTTATCAGACACTTGGCTTAATTTTTCTCTTGATAATGGTGGGTATTTAAGACGCACGTGACTGTGGGACGATAAAAGAAAACTTTCATGATTCTGTGTCTCTCCCTTTTCTTTTTTTACTTTTTTGTTTTGTTTTGTTTTTACTTTGACCTCGAGATACATATGTCTACTTAAAGGTGTTTTGAAGAGAGCGAAGGAGACAGACAGGGCTTTGAAAGGAAAAACAGACGTCTAATTGGCTGTCTTTTGCAGACCCTTCAGTGACCCTGCACTGAATACCTCTAATGGAGACGTGTGATCTTGAAGCCTCCACCGTGATAAACAAATTCTATCTCTTCAACTTGTTTGGCAGCAGAATTCTTTATTCTCCTCATAAAGGACTTTTTCTGTAAATGAGTAAGGCATTAGCATAGGTACATTCTAGAAGGGGAGAAGATGGCTTTCCAATTTTATAGATATACTACGTTTTTAAAAGGGAATTTGGGTCCCTCATCAATGTAATTCACGTCCGTGTGTCATTTTCCATGATACTATAAAAAGCAGAATTCATTTGCATTCAAAGCCATAGTTGCTAACTCCAAAAAGTTCAGAAAATCAGTTAGGAGGCAACCAGCTTTACTCCTAAAATTAATAACCCTTATGGCATTGTTTTTGTGCAACCTTGGAACTTCCCGTGCTGTGAACCGTTTGGGTGCTCAAGGGGGAAAGTAGTAAGAGTCAGTTCAAATTCGTCTGTGCTTCAAAAAGCACATGGGATGATGGGAGGTTTTCATTAAGTGATGTGGAAATAGGAGAGGTAGGGAGGGGATATCCCCATTCCTAGTGTTGTCAAAGGGCTGCAAGGGTCACTCACCAGAAAGCTCTGCATTTCACCTCCACCTTAACTTCTTGGGGATGGCTGGGGTCGTCGCCTCCTTTCTTTCTCCCCAGGCTTTTGGAGTTACAGAAAGGTTGAGACCAACGTCACATTCTGGGATTCCAATATGTGTAAGAATAAAGACATCCCCAAACAAGGTTTTAAAAATGGGTTAGGCTTTAATATTTAATATTTATTAATGTCATCTGTGAATGTTCAATATAATAGAGGCTATCATTCCAGTTATAGCATATTCTTATGGGGAAACAGCGCAAATAATTTTGCATTTCAGGCGTGAATGTGGGGCTCATGCCTCCAAACCCATCCCCGTACCAGATCATGCTTATAGACAAAGATCAGCATGGCGTAATGGAAAGAGCACTGGTTGGGGCGCCTGGGTGGCTCAGTTGGTTGGGCAACTGACTTCAGCTCAGGTCATGATCTCACAGGTCATGGGTTCAAGCCCCACGTCGGGCTCTGTGCTGACAGCTCAGAGCCTGGAGCCTGCCTCAGATTCTGGGTCTCCCCCTCTCTCTGCCCCTCCCCTTCTCACTCTCTGTGTCTCTGTCTCTCAACAATAAATAAACGTTAAAAAAAAATTTTTAGAGGGGCGCCTGGATGGCTCAGTCGGTTGAGCGTCCGACTTCGGCTCACGTCATGATCTCGCGGTTCATGGGTTTGAGCCCCGCATCGGGCTCTGTGCTGATGGCTCAGAGCCTGGAGCCTGTCTCAGATTCTGTGTGTGTGTCTCTCTCTGTGCCCCTCCCCCACTCGCACTCTGTCTCCCTCCGTCTCAAAACTAAATAAACATTTAAAAAAAAAAATTTTTTTTTTTTTTTTTAGGAAAGAGCACTGGCCTGGAAGCCATGAGGATCTCATGAGGTTCTATTTTTATCTGAGCCTTGGTTTTCTCATCTAGAAAGGGAATATGTTGCCCCAAGTGGTCCCCCGGGTCTCTTCTGGTGTTCTTTTTGTGACCATGTATTGTGCTTATGACTCCTAGACGTGGGGCCTGTCATTCCAGCCAGAAATGGAGAAAAACAAGGCGAGGTAATCAGATACCAGTAAAGATAAACAGGCTTAGAAACACACACGTCAGAGCCCAAGTAAACAAAGACAACGATGTCGGACGAGAGTTACAACGGGGAGACGGGCAAGTGCCAGTGGACGTCCGCTGCAGCTAACTCTACCTTTGTTGGTCTCCTGACAGGCAGAGGCAATCATGGTGGCTCAGGGCACAGTCCCACAACGTCCATGAGACCCAGACCCGATCTCCCATCACCCCCCCCCAGCGGTCCAGTTCTTCAGCGTTGCCTAATAGGTGAGTACAGCTCACGGGAAGAATCATGCCCTTGCTTAATGCTTTTGATGTCACTCATTCCCCATCACAAAGCAAAGATCTCTCCTCTCAGTGTCTCCTACGAAGAAAAACATGAAAGCAACACCACTACCAGTCCACCTCCACACAAGTCTTTATGGTGAGTAAGCCCAAGACCCAAGATCAGGAAAGATCAAGTAGAAACAAAACTCTCTTTTCCCTCATGATGTAGGCTAGCTAACATTAATGATTAAAATATTGTGCTGTTTCGTCTCGGATTTCAACAGCGCTTGAGTCCCAGGGTTGAGGCCTCAGGCACTAAATAAAGAGAACACTGATTGTTGGAACTGGAAAGCATCTAAGCATCTATTAGCTCAGCCTACCATGAAAAGTAGGAATTCCTTTAACAAAATCCTCATACATGCCTATCCAGCATCTCAGTGGTAATAGCAGGAACAATGTAATGATGATCATTATTATGATAATGACACTTATTTCATACATACCACGTGACAGACACTGGACTAAGTACCTTGAGTACTGACTACAAATCAGCACTGTTTTTTGGTTTTTTTTTTTAATTTTTTTTTTCAACGTTTATTTATTTTTGGGACAGGGCGAGACAGAGCATGAACGGGGGAGGGGCAGAGAGAGAGGGAGACACAGAATCGGAAACAGGCTCCAGGCTCTGAGCCATCAGCCCAGAGCCTGATGCGGGGCTCGAACTCACGGACCGCGAGATCGTGACCTGGCTGAAGTCGGACGCTTAACCGACTGCGCCACCCAGGCGCCCCCAAATCAGCACTGTTTTTAGGATGTTGTATATACTAACTTCCTGAATCATTGTAATGGCTCTCACGTTATGCAGAAATCGGTGGAAACAGACAGGGGTTAAATAACTTGCACGAGGTCACACAGCTGGACAGAGAGGACCTGGGGAATTGAAAGAAAAGTCTAGTTCTGGATCCTGTCCCTCTAGCCCTATGGCACCAGTGGGGACAGGGGAGAGAGACAGGGTAAGGACATGGAGTATATTTCAACACTACTTAATAGAAAGATCTTTAGTTCTTTCTAAGAGCCAAATCTGCCTCTTTCAATCTTCGTATTGCCCACTAGCCTTAAACAGAGCAATAATTATTCCTTCTTCAGTTTGACAGTCCTTGAGATCAGGGGTTTGCAAACTATGGTCTGATTTTGTACGGGCCATGAGCTCAGAATGGGTTTCAAGTGCTCCTGTTGTTGAAAAAAACAATCAAAAAGAGAATAATATTTCATGGCACATGAAAATACATGAAATTCAAATGTCAGTAGCCACAAATAAAGTTTTATTGGAACACAACCGTGCTTCTTCATTTACACACTGTGACTGCTTTCACTCTACTGCAAGGTCAGAATTAAGTAGCTGCAGCAAAAAAACAGTGGCTCAGTTGGTGAAGCTGCCGACTCTTGATTTCGGCTCAGGTCATGATCTCATCGTTCGTGAGTTTGAGCCCCACATCGGGCTCTTCACTCGCAGCACAGAGCCTGTTTTGGATCCTTTGTCTCCCTGTCTCTGCCCCTCTCCCACCTGCGTGCACATATGCATTCTCTCTCTCTCTCTCTCTCTCTCTCTCTCTCACTCTCTCTCTCTCAAAAATAAATAAGTGTCAAAAAAAAAAAAGTAGTTGCGACAAAAAACTCTATGGCCCAGCAAATCATAAAATATTTACTATATGGGGCACCCGGGTGGCTCAGTTGGTTGAGCGTCCGACTTCGGCTCTCGGTTCATGAGTTCCAGCCCCGCATCGGGCTCTGGGCTGACAGCTCCGAGCCCGGAGCCTGCTTCGGATTCTGTGTCTCGGTCTCTCTCTGCCCCTTCCCCACTCATGCTCTGTCTCTCTCTGTCTCAAAAAGAAATAAAACATTAAAAAAAAATTTGTTTAATATTTACTATCTGACTCATTACCAGTAACATTTGCTGACCCTTATGTTAGATACCTGAAGGCAGTTCTCATGTCCGTTCTTTTTTTTTTTTTTTAATTTTTTTTTTCAACGTTTATTTATTTTTGGGACAGAGAGAGACAGAGCATGAACGGGGGAGGGGCAGAGAGAGAGGAAGACACAGAATCGGAAACAGGCTCCAGGCTCTGAGCCATCAGCCCAGAGCCTGACGCGGGGCTCGAACTCACGGACCGCGAGATCATGACCTGGCTGAAGTCGGACGCTCAACCGACTGCGCCACCCAGGCGCCCCTCATGTCCGTTCTTAAATGTGCTCTTTTTCTATGGTGAATATTTCAAATCCCCTTCCCTCCTCCAACCTCTCCTTGTCTTGAAAGCTATTCCCTGGAATTTCTTTAGTACCGTGTATTTTATCCTTCTTAAAGCGGCACCCAGTGCTACAATCCCACAATGGAATAGGTCTCAACAACGAAAAGGAATACACTAGCCAGATACCCAGTGGCAAGGATAAATCTCCAAATCTTTACGCTGAGTGACAAAACCTTACCTAAAGAGTTCTTATGATATGATGGTGTATACCTGAAATTCTAAAGCAGGCGAAACTAATCTATGGTGCGGAAAAAAAAGAAACAAATGAACATGAGAGCCAGGGTTGTCTATGGGAGAACAGGCAGGGATTGGTTGGGATGGGCAAAAAGGAACTCTCTGGGGCAATGGAGATATTGCAGAGTTTGACAGTCATTTGGATCACACAGTTGTAAACACTTGCCACACTAAATCTAAAGAGCGGCTTACAACTTGTACCTGACACTGTATCTGTCCCCACCCTCCCCCAAAATATTGTCAACGAATGTTGAACTCTACTTAATGCTCTTCATGCTGGAAGGTTGGGGGGGTGGGGAGGAAGGGTATCAACGCCCACAACCTATTTTGAAACGTGTCCCCAAATCAACGTGCAAACATCAACGTGATTGCACGGTTGGACAGAAGAACAGACAGATGACGAGGTACGGGATAGAGCAACATGACTAAAATGTGCAGTGTGGAACCTGGGTGGCGGGCATGTGGGTGTTCACTGTCGACTTCTTTCAGCTTCCGCGGTTAAAAACCTTTCACGGTAAATTCTCTTCTTCCAAAGAAAATTTTCATGATCAGATATTGAGGTGGGGGAGGGGTAAAAGTCATGCCTGGTGTGAACCAAAGTACTTCGAGTGTAGCGCAAAGTGACACTATGACGTCCCCTCACCTGGCAGTCGTTTTTGTGTTAACTTGTGTCGTCCTTCCAAGAAACTGTCTGGGTTCAGGTGTCCTTGCTTCGTTTCACCCAAAGAAGCGTCTAACTTCTGCATCGTTTAAATTCTGGGTCTGGGGGCGCCTGGGCGGCTCAGTCGGTGAAGCGTCCGACTTCGGCTCAGGTCACGATCTCACGGTCCGTTGAGTTCGAGCCCCGCGTCGGGCTCTGTGCTGACAGCTCAGAGCCTGGAGCCTTCTTCAGATTCTGTGTCTCCCCCTCTCTCTGAACCTCCCCCGTTCATGCTCTGTCTCTCTCTGTCTCAAAAATAAATAAACATTAAAAAAAAAAAAAAGAAAAAAAAAATTCTGGGTCTGTAGTTTATTACACAAAGATGCCGAAAATGAAAGGTGCCGAAACCTCCCCCGTGCGACGTCTCCGTCAAGTTCACCTGGGGAAAACAGCGGAGATGCCACAAGCGGGCTTGCGGGCCTCGTGGAGTTGTAGAAAGAATGTGTTTGATCGTGGCCGGGTTCCTGGCCTCCTGCACCTCGCCAGTAGGTCGGCATATGCGTTTCTCACACCACGGTCCGCTGTCACCCGACAAACAACAGGCTCGCCACTGTTAGAAATACCAGATGAGCATGTGTGCGTGATACAAATTTTAAAAAGTCCTCAAAAATACGCAGCCTATTCTCTGGATCCACTGTTTCCTTAAAGGACCTCTGCAGTGTTCAATCTGTCTGTTGCTTTTATGCAAAGCCAATATTAGTAGCAATAACACAAGCATGCTTCGACTATTTAGAGGTCAATTAGCTGGAAAATTCTGCTTTCTGAATGGAAGCTAAGAATCAAGGAAGCAAGCAAGAAAAATCCTGAGGGCGGTCAAATAGCTGCGGGAGCCTCAGGGCACCAGGCTTCCGTACTTACTCCTGGAAGAGTCCCGAAAGCCAACACCCACAGTCCTGTGATACGGATATTGGGAAAACGCTAACAAGTCTGGATTTCCAGCTCCTTCCTGACCAGATGTTGCACGTAGACAGGCAGAAAAGCAGCAAAAGTGGGAAGAATTATTACCCACCATGGGAAACTCAAAACAGACTATAATTTGGAAGGATGAATTTACAAGCAAAAGAGGCCTATGTTAATGTATGTTAATACTACCAATAAAAGAGGGGCGCCTGGGTGGCTCAGTCGGTTGAGTGTCCCCCTCTTGATTTTGGCTCAGGTCATGTTCTCAGGGCTCATGAGACAGATCTCCGTATCAGGTTCCGTGCTGACAGCACAGAGCCTGCTTGGGATTCTGTCTCTTCCTCTCTCAAAATAAATAAATAGGGGCGCCTGGGTAGCTCAGTCGGTTAAGCATCAGACTTCGGCTCAGGTCACGATCTCACGGCTCGTGGGTTCGAGCCCTGCATCGGGCCCTGTGCCGACAGCTCAGAGCCTGGAGCCTGCTTCAGATTCTGGGTCTCCCTCTCTCTCTGCTCCTCCCCCACTCATGCTGCCTCTCTCTGTCTCAAAAAGAAATAAAACATTAAAAAAAATTCAAGAAAAAGAATAGTTCCATAAGATATTAAAGAGGATCTTTAAAAAACAGAATTAAAAAAGGGGAGGGGCTATTACAGACACATTCAGGAAATGTTGGCCTAGTAGTTAAGGCTGAAACATTTCTATTATGATTCTAGCCATTTCTGAAAAGAAAGAACATTGGGTTTTATTGTGGGGTGTTTTTTTGTTTTTGGTGTTTGGTTTTTGGTTTGGGGGTTGTTTTTTTTGTTTCGTTTTGGTTTTTTCCCTTCCTTTTCCCACTCCACGCCTTTTTTTTTTTTTTTCCTCGTATTTTGGCCGAAACCTAGTGATGCAATTCTCTGTTCTCATCATAATGATGTCCACGGGTCTGCCCGCATCTTCTGGTCTAGGCGTGGCTCTGATTCTCTCACACAGGTGTTTCCTCTCCTGCCCCCACACTTGATAATTCCCTTTGCACAAAAATCTGTTTCGTACAAATTCCAGGCACCGTTTCTAGCTTCTGAGAACACCTTTTAAATCGTCCACATGATCGCTTTCCTCTCCGCTTCCTTCCCTTGGCACTCCCTAGTTTGTTTCACCCTCTGTTTCTTCTCCAAACCGCGTGCCAACATTTTACGCGCAGAAGCCACTTTTCAGTGCCTCCTGTATTTCCTCTCTCGCCTAGTGGTTTTGCACCCGTTTTTCTTTTTTCTGCTTTTGCTCTCCTCCGCGACGTTTATTTCATATCCCGAATCTCCACGCTCTCTCCTCTTCTGCTGAATCGAAAGCTTGAAATGGACAACCGCTAAAACTCTCCCTTTCCTTCCGCTGTACCATCCCCGCCATCTGGCCCTGAACATGGATTTCTCCAGAGTGAGCCCAGCAGCCTGCCCAGCGTCAACGGATATTCTATTCCTCTCCTTCTCTGGGCTGTCACCTTGACAGATAGCGCCCACCCACCTGTCGGCATCGAACTACAAACCGACAGACCCGTGTTCAGTCTTGAAATCCGCCTCTTATTCAATTTCTCTCGGCCTCCGTTTCCACATCTATAAAATGGACCTATATAATATCCATCCTGTCTCTAATGTCTCTAATTCTCGGGTCTGATCTATCTGACGGGGTTGGGTAGGGCCAATGAGGCCATGTTTCTAGAACCTCTTCATTGGTTGTAGAATGTGATTGCTTTATTCTTTCACTTGGGAACTTCCGTTCCTATTGAAGTCCTGGGAGTAGAGCCTCATTTTCTTTTACCGTCTTAATTTCTTCTTGGTCTAACGGGTATGTGCTCAGGCCCCTCTTACCACCACCAAATTCGCCAGCTGAGATGAAATTCACTTCCGGCACCACTGTTTTATCAGAACAAGGGTTGTCAATGGGGAGCCCGACGGGAGAGGGGTTACGTGAGCCTCAGATTCTCTGGCCGGAGAGCCGGCCCCATCACTTGCTAGATGTGGGAAATTGAGAACTTCTGCTAGGCTTTATTTCCTCAGTTTTCTCATCTTTCAAATGGGGGTAGCAGCGACCATGTCGGGTAGGGCAGGTGGCTGTGATACTGAGGCACAGTCAGAGGCCACAGGCCGCGCCTAGCACATGGTAAGCTCTCAGTGACGCGTGCCTCTCAGTTATTTGTCATTACCTGCCTTTTCTGCCCTGCCTTCTCCGTCGTAGGTCCCTTTTATTCTCCGTTTCCTTCTGCCTCACCTCTCTGCCTGTCACTCCCCTGGCAGCGGGCACTGCCCCCCACCCACACACACTTTCCGTGAAATCTCAGGGGAAGAGTTCAGACTTTGAAGCCTCCCAAAGGTCCCCTCCTCCTCCGGATTCTTTTCTGGCATCCTCCCTGTGTTTTCACTGTCCTCCTGATTAGAGAGTATGTCAGCAAGGCAGGATAATTTACTGATATATTAATTTGTGCTCCTATCTCAGCCTTTGCTGGCTCTCTGCTCTACAGAGGAAGCCAGGCCCCTCTGTGCCCCTGCCTCGGGGGAGGTCCGTGTTGAGAGGACAAAGGGAAGGCACCTGGCTTTTGTTTCCCCAGAGCCACACGCTCTGGAGGGAGATCGTGCCAGCCAAGAGGAAGAGAGGGAAAAGCCAGGAACTGTGAATGGAGAGAGAGAGAGAGAGAGAGAGAGAGAGAGGGAGGGAGGGAGGGAAGGGGAGAAGACCAGGCTCCTAGCAAGACTGTAGCCCCCATCTGCAGCCGCCCCCCACCCCGGGGAAGCAGCTAGACCCCAAAGAGGGTGGCTTTAAGTCATGTCTCGATAACTAGCCACTAGGCACAGGCCGAGAGGCTCAGCAAACATTCCACCAACTGTTCCCTTCACTCAGCGTGTCCGTGGGTAGCAGAGCCACAGCAGTAGGAAGCCCATGGGGCACCTGGGTGGCTCAGTCAGTTAAGCCTCCAACTTGGACTCAGGTCATGATCTCGACGTGGGTGAGTTCGAGCCCCACGTCAGGCTCTCTGCTGACAGCACCGAGCCCGCTTCAGATCCTCTGCTCCCCTCTCTCTCTGCCTCTCTCTCTCTCTCTCAAAAACAAATAAACATAAAAAACAAACCAACAAAGAAAGAAATAAGGACGCTCGTGCCGGCCAGGACGGCGGCGACCAGAGGAGAGAGTGACAGAGTGAAAGGACACAACGCCTGTGGCCCTCTCAGACTGTTCCGGGATCTTCACAAGCGTGAGAGCTGTTGCTCCCCAAGACACAGATGGGGAAGCTGGCTGATGCACAGAGAGGTCAAGCAACGTATCCAAAATCACACAGCTGGACATGGTGAAGCCAGGGGCCTAATTCAGGTAGAAATACTAAAAGAGGCCACCACCAAAACAACAAGCAACCACAAAAAAGGCCCCCAACGCATCGCAGAATGTGAAGACTGAAATGCTGCGCAGACCACAAAACAACAACACTGAAGCCGAAATCAGGAGATAATCTGCGTGCCACGGGACGTGGGGGGGCCGCCCCCCCCGGCGGGCCAAGGAAAGGCCTGGAAGAGCGGACCCACTTGTTTTTCCGAAAAGGGCCCGGGCATCAATGGCTCTGTGGCTCCTGCCGAACTGCATTCCGACGATGGAAATACTGTCTTCATTATGATCAAGCAGCAGCACATGCGGTCAGAACATAGAGTCAAGTCAAGGGCGTCCGGAACTCGCCCTCGTCCCCTCCGGTTACCCCGTCCGTGTACGTCATTTAACCGTGCCGAGCCTGGCTCTCACCTGTAAGATGAAGACAAAGAAATCCCCTAGCTCAGCAGTTCTCATCGTGGAGGCACGGGGCAGTAAGCAGAAAGTTATTATTAATTATTGTTATCATTCCACCGGCTAGTCCTGCTCAGTCCCACAGCTGCCCAGATGTTGAGCATCCTTGAATGTCAGACATTGCGCTGGGCGTTGAGGAGTCCCGGCCCTCAAGCCAGCCGGGATCTCATTGGAACAGAGACCTATGAGGGGGCCCTTCCAGTGCAAGGTGGTGAGTGCTATACATAGGATAATGCCAGGATCCACCTGGGGGGGGGCCCAGGGCCAGAGCCCCTAAGGAGACCGCAGGGTGGGAAGGAGGACAGGTTTCCTGCAGAAGTTAATGGCCCGGAGCCATTCACAACTTCACAAACAACAGTAACCTCTGTCTCATAGCGGGCGAGGAACCTCCCCACTCCCCATCCACCCTTCTGAAAGGCTCCTGGGGCCCAAGCCCACTCCGGATCCTGCTCCAGCAGTTAATCTGAGTTTTGAGCTACACAGAGCTTGCATCATCCTGGGCCCTGGGACCAAGCCAACAGCGGGGAAGCCAAGACGGCTCAGAGCTGCCGGCACATTCCATAAACCCAAATTTCCAGTGTTGCCTCGAAGAAGACGTGCGAGGGAAAATCTGCATGTGTCAATGAAGCTCGTTGACCAGGTGACCTAAAGGGGAAATGTAAATGTGGGATTCGGACTGGCAAAGTTCAAAGCCTCCGAGTTTGATACCCAGATAGAGATCGGTAAGCTATTAAGAGTAGTCGGCTTCCAAAATCCAGAGGTCGCGAAGAAATGCCCGCTTTGCACCTCAGAGGGACGACCAACAGCACCGAACAGCAGTCTCCGGGAAATGCTCTGCTCAGTTCCCAGCGCAAGATGTACCCGTTCAACGAGATGGAGAATGAACTCAACTGTCCCACTTCCCTATCATGTCAAAAATCCCTAAGACACATTCCGTCTCCAAGGGAAATGATGTGTTTGGGGACCATTTATCCCCCCCCGCTCTGGATGCAGGAGACTGACAGGAAGTCAAGTCCTCACCTTGACTTCCAACGGCTTTTCAACTCACGTCATCATAGACGTAGCATAAAACCGCGGTCCCCCCCTCCCCCGTTTTCCTTGGAAGTCTGTGTTTTGTGCGGGCACCACGATCGAGTCCGCTTGTCTATTCGAGGACACTAGAGGCTCTAAGTCACAAAACCCCGCGTATAGCCCATCTATCTATTTATTCCGGAACTCACTGGGAAAGACAAGCTGAGTTATCTTTAGCCAAGAAAACCTGAGCGGCATTTATGGGCGTGAAGTTCAGCACAGCCGTCCGACACAGACACAGGCTTGAAGAAAACGCATTACACAGTCTACGCAAATCCCCTCACCGCCCCGGCGGCTGGAGCCCAATGAATGGTCTCCGCGCTGGAGAGCGGAGTTCTAGAATGCTTATCTTCTCCCCAGCCCCCATCCCAACCCTCAAAGATTACGAACACAATCGCTTGTGACAGATTGCTCCCCAGTCTTCCGCCTTAAATTCTAGATGATAAATTCAACACGAAGTGACAGTCACAGCAAGTGTGCAGGGCTGTATCTAAAAAAACTAATTTTACTGAAGTTAGAACTCAGTGAACGAGAAAATGTGAATGTACACCTAGGGCATATCTCAAAACTTTAATCTCTATGAACGCCATAATGGTTATTTATGGCCGGGATGATATTAATATTTTAAAACATTTCAATAAAGAAGCGCCGTGAGACTTTCAAATTGTATTGTTATGCAAAGATAATAATATTTCAATGGGTCCTTCCCTGCGCTGGTATGTTAATGGAGCAAAGCAAAAAAAAAAAAAAAAAAAAAAAAAAAAAAAAAAAAAAAAAAAAAAACAAAAGAAAAGAAAAAGAAAAAAAACTGCTTTTGTTAACCGAGCAGTGGCCATAGCTAGAGTGCTCTGGGCTTAATTTCTAAGAAATAGCTCTTCTTCCTTTTCTTATTATTTGGGGGGTAAAAAAAAAATTTCTGGGGCTGCTATTGTCTGTTTAAATTAGGTAAATGCAATTAAGACGAGTCAAATATACACAGGCTCCAATGATGGGTAAAATTAAGGTCACCCTTGCAGCCCTAATCCAACCACATTGCTTAATCTCAGCTTTAGCCATTTACAAGTGGGCAGGATGGTAATGTCTCGCTACTGTTGGGGTTAATGTAGACTGATTGGGGGACTAGAGATAAATCCTGCAGGCTGGCTTGACTGTGCAAGAGCTTATCCTGACATTTTGGAAAAAAAAAAAAGAAAGAAAGAAAGAAAGAAAAGAAAATTGGGTTCCATTCCCCAGGACCGGTTGAGAGTCCCTTCCTTGGTTTCCTCTCTGCTAAAGCACAGAGGCAGAAGAACTTTTTCTTTTGAATTTCTGCCCCACCCTCACCGCCCCCACCCCAGGCCAGGGATCTTTGCATTTGCAAAAAGGAAAGGTCCGCGTCTTCATTCTCTCTCTTTTTAAAATTCTTCTAACGTTTTTATTTATTTCTGAGAGGCTGAGAGAGACAGAGGATGAGCAGGGGAGGGGCAGAGACAGAGAGGGAGACACAGAATCTGCGGCAGGCTCCGGGCTCTGAGCCGTCAAGCACAGAGCCTGACGTGGGACTCGAACCCACGAACCGTGAGACCACGACCTAAGCCAAAGTCCGACACATAACTAACTGAGCCACCCAGGCACCCCTGTGTCTTTAATCCTCTTCAATCAAAAGCTCTTGTCTTTTCTTTCATGTATGTAAAGATTACATTTATGTTGCTTCCTGCTATTGTCCTCTGTGAAGGAGTTGCTGAAAAAAAAAAAAAAAAAAAAAGGTTGACTTTTACAGCCAAGAGAGAGGTACGAAATTGCAAAGGTCATCAATGAGTAAACAGATATTAATGGTTAGCCGGATACCTGGTACATAAACAGGTCACATTAATAATTAACACCAGGAAAAACTTAGCACTTTCAACCAAGCTCAGGAAAGTAGGTGTCAGAAACACCAGCTCC